TTGACACATACATTTCTGACCCAGTTGTGTCAGTTTGTATCTTTTTGCCACCTTAAGTCAAGGTTTGAGCAACGACATGTCAAACAGAGAAGCATCTTTAAAAGAAAGAGCTACAAGAGAGCACACAACAAGAGTGTTACTGAAATTTCACTAAATTATACTTGGTGAAAACCAGCTGTGGAACACTGACAGGGAGAAGTCTGTAATCTGGACCAACAGCGTCTTCCCCTGTGCTTAAGAGCCTCTCAGAGGAGGCACTTGTCGGTGGGCAGGCCAAATATTTGATTGCCACTCGAGCCAGTGCAGGATATTGTGCCATTTTTGCTGACCAGTATGAGGTCACTGGGTCAGAGGCCAGTGACTGTGTGCTGCTCTCTGCTAGGTAAGTCTCCACTAAACCTGATGATGTCACTGTCTTTGATGCTGCATTATTAGCTGTAAGACTGTGCATCGCACCCCAAAACAGGCTTGTTGGCTTGCTCCTGGTGTCCTCTGATTCTTGCATCACAACTGATGAAGAGCCATTTCCACCTGCTGAAGGTGTGCTGTCCTGCTCCAACAACTCCTCAACCTCCACCGCCACAGCAGCTTTCAGCCTTCCGAAATCCAGCTTGCTAAGAAGTGCCATGGGCATTATCTTAAATCTGGGGTCCAGCAGCGTGGCTTTAAAGTAAGTGTTGGTGGGCGTTTCAAAGACATGTTGGAAATGTTCCTCGAGGTGGCTCTGCAGTAAGCCAACTAGCTGGCGCGTCTCTAACAGATCACTCACATCTTTATTTGCTATAAGTTTGTTCAGTGCAGCTCTGAGGGCCTGGATGCATGGAATCACAGAGGAAATAGAAGAATCATCTTGGCACACTGTGCAGGTTGCCTCCTCAAATGGCTCCAATACTTTGACAATGGCCTCCATTAAAGTCCACTGATGCTCTGACAGCGACCCACCGAGGTCCACCTCTGTGGACATGGCAACCAGTGCCTTCTTCTGCTCCAGCAGGCGTTGCAGCATGAACAACACAGTGTTCCACCTGGTCGGCACATCATGAACTAAGGCAGCCTCAGTAAGGCCAAGTTTATCCTGTATCTCATGCAGTTTAGCTACAGCTGTATTTGACATGTGGACAGTGTTGGTGATTTGTCTCGCAGTGTTGATGACACTAACCACACCGTGGCACTCTTCAATAGCTCCTGTTACAATCAAATGCAGGGAGTGAGCCATGCACCTAATGTGCTCAAAGCCACTGTCGGACATGGCTTTCACCATATTGCAGGTGTTGTTAGTTACAAAGAACTCAACAGTAAATCTGTGTGGAATCAGAGTCTGCCACTCTTCAACAAGGTCCTCGAGGTGTTGCAAGATTTCTGCTGGAGTGTAGTCCGTATCGATGACTTTCATACTGAGCAGTGCGTTGACACGTTTATGCATCACAACCCCACCACCTGATACATTCTGTGTAAACCAATGTCCTGTGAGTGACAGGTAGGAACTAACAGAGAACTTTCTGGTCCAAATATCAGCTGTGCAGTGCACAACGTTGCCCTCAATGTTCTTAAGGCTCTCCTTCACTTTAGATTTGACTCTTTGGTGAAGCTGTGGTACAACTGTGTTGCTGAAGTGGATGGCCGCTGGGAGTGTGTAATGAGGGGCCACCACATTCATGAGTTTAGAGAAGCCTTTGTTCTCCACAAATGAGTACGGCAAAAGATCTGTGCAGATCATTTCACCCACACTTTCAGTGATTGCCTGGGTCAGTGGCTGATTTGGTAGCTCGAGGGCTTCAGATTGGAAATCCGGGAAGACAAGTGGGGCAAAGGGCAGTATGTCAGGTGGGGTAGGGGCTGACTGGGATCTCCTGCTGCTCTGAGTGCTACGAATGCCTGCCACATTTCGATGTTTGTAGTGCATGTGGTTGTGCATGGTGCTGGTGGTGAGATGTCCTAGATCCTTGCCTCTGCTCACGACTCTCTTGCATATGTTGCACATCACCTTGGTCACATCGTCTTCACAAGTGGTGAAATATTTCCAGATTGCACTCTTATTTCTTCTTTTCTTTTTTGTTGGTGTGTCACCTACATCTTGTTGCTGATCACTAGCAGCAGCAGCAGCAGCAGCAGCATTTTCATAGTCTGTCAAGTCTTCAATCTTAACAATATCCACAGCATCCATGACTGACTGCTGACTACAATATTAATAATCACTCTACAAGATAATAAGACTTGATACGCGGACCTCTCTCAGCCGGTCGACATACATTAGATCTTCCTGTGATGCACTTGTCTCATTCACTTAATGAAAAAACACGTCCGTTAGTTGTTTTCACTCAGCATATGAGCCCTGCTCCTCCTCCTCCTCCTCCTCCTCCTCCTCCTCTTTCAGCAGCCGGTGCACCGGGCGGACAGCAGCGGCGCCATTTTGAATGTACAGAATAAATCCTCGGATGACCCAAAATAAACTCTCTTGTAGCCTGACAGTGTCAGATATTCAGCAGTCTCGTGTTTTACTGGAGTTCGACATTTTGTTTTGCTTTCCTCTGTTTTCCCTCTTCTTCGTTTCTGTATTCTTCTTCTTCTTCGTTCATTTTCCTGTAGGTTTTTTGTGCCGCTGGTGCGTTGCTGCCCCCCACAGGCGACATGGAGAAATGACAAAGATGTGTTTCAGTATATGGAGTAAGTCTGTGGAATGGTTTAGGAATAGAAATTAAAGTGTGTAATACACACAATAGATTCAAAAGGTTATTTAAAATGCAACAAATACAACATATAATACAAAAATCCATAATAAAACAACTCATTCTCATTGATGGATATAAGTGTTTCTAATTTTAGATCTTTTGAAGATTGTTCATGTCCAAGGTGCAGAGTAGAAAAATGCAGTTTTTCCCGGAGTGCATTAAAAAGCAACCAGAGCCAACACACAGAAGGGAGCAGAGGTAGGCCGGAAGTTTGCTCAATATTTCTTAATAGATGAAAATATACCAGTGCTGTTGTCTGTGAGTGGTCTATGACGTCCAACCCTCCAAATCATAAAGAATGCAGTGATGAGTGAGTGACTTTGTGTTTGTAATAAAACATAGAGATGTGTGGTAAACTGAATCAAGGCTATGTAAAAAGAAGAAGGTTGCATGTATATACAATATGTCACCGTAATCAAAATATACTTAAAGTATTAAAAGTAAAAACTCTCATTATGTATAATGGCCCATTTCAGAATTATATACAGGCTATTATATTACTGAATATAATCACTGATGCAACTATGTGTTCATCATTTTAATGTTGCAGCTCTAAAGGTGGAGTTAATTTAAATTGTCCTGTACACTGCTGGTTGGTTTAATATATAAGAATATATGATAACCTATTTGCTATTTTAGATTACTGATACAAGATATAAATTAACTAAGTAACTAGGAACTAAAGCTTTAAACATGTATTGGATTAAAAAGTGCAATATTTACCTCTGAAGTGTAGCTGAGTGTAAGTAGAACGTAGCATAAGATGGAAATACTCAAGTAAGGACAAGTACCTCCAAAAAGTACCCAAGTACAATAGTTTAGTAAATGTAGGTAGTTACAGTATGTTCAGCCACTGCGTAAAAGCCATGAGTACTGGCTTGCAAACTACCCCAGTTTGAGTATTTTCTTTTCAGTTTAGTTTGGTTTATTTCAGTCATTTCTCAACAGGACCAAAAAGGTGTAGATTAAAGCCTCAGCTTATGACACCTACCCATTTATAATTATTTTTGTCAGAATTATTCAGAGCAACAAAAGAAAGTAACAGAAACTCAGTATATAAAGGCCTATTGTCATGGGTGCAGATCTAATGACAAGTTTGGGGGGGACACAATCAGTTGTGATTTTTTTTTAATTGCACGCGTGCAAATCATGCCCACAGAGCGCTTGAGATTGCCAGCATATTTCACGATTTCATAGAGGCTCATCACCATCACCAAGTCATTCAAAAAGCACTACAAAGAGAATCATATGCTTACCTTTACCTTTACTGTTTATTTCTCTTAAACAGCCAGTAGTACATGGAACCAGCCATCACCCTCCTTTTCACTGCTTCGCTGTTAGTTAATGCTACTTCTAGTTTCAGGGTCTCAGGCATGTTATGTCCACTCATGTTCTCATCTCTCGCCTCTCACTGATTCCCATTTCTCCTCATCATCTTCCCTTTCTCCCAGTATATAGGACTACTGTATACATTTGTTCAATTTGAATTATTTAAGCTATTTAGAATTAGGGGGGGGGACGGACAATTTGTGTTTTTCAGAATTTGGGGGGGGGGGTCGACGACGACGACGACGACGACGACGACATGTCCCCCCCCCATCCCCCCCGGGATCTGCACCCATGCCTATTGTCTACCCCAAAAAATCCCAAACACATTTCATGTACACTCTGGTGTTCAAACTTCAGTGTTCTATTGTTAATCATCTTGTGTTTAAATGTGTTGTGATTGGCTGCTACCTTGCGCAGGTCTCTCTTGTAGAAGATTTTCAATCTCAATGGGACTTCCTGGTTAAATAAAGGTTAAATAAAAATAAATGTACAAAAAAAGATACTTTTGTACTTTTATTTAAGATGTTGAATGCAGGACTTTTACTTGTAACAGTGTATTTGTGTCTTGTAGTAATGGTACTTTAACTCAAGTCAAAGATCTGAACATTTCCTCCACCACTTCTTGTACATATATCTGTCCAGAATTCAGAACTAAAGTGTGAATTCATTTTTTAAATAGGATCTTAGTGGCAGACTGTACTGTGATTCATCATTGCAGTTTGGATTCATCTTGGAGTGGGCGCCCTCTACTGACCACAGGGACACTAAACACCTGATTCAGTTATTTGTTTCCTGTTAATTAGATGTGAATCTTTATTCTTTAATATTACTCGGAGGTTTTGTGACCAAAAGCAGGACAAGAAAGGGATAAACGATGTAACTTTCAATCAACACCATGGGTTATCTATTCTGATTATTTATTATTTTCAACAGAGTTAAGGAAGCCCCGCATCAGCAAGGCATCAAAAAATTAATTAAAAACTCTTAGTGTTCCTCTCCACGGAAATCTTTAGTAAAAGGCGAAAGATTTATACGATCTGAAGAGAAACAAGAGTGTACTGATGATAATGTGAAACTCTGGACGACCCCATTCTCCGCCATGTCATCCTCACTCAGGTTTCACTGTACAGACGAGACATTATACACATTATTTATAGTCAATCATTTCATCCAGAAACATAAACAGTGTATGATGAAGACCTCCAATAATCACACATGCTGATGGGAAACAAATAAAAAAGTTTAGCCTGCAACGACCGCACGCGCGCAATGCATTGTGGGAATACGGCGGCCCTGACTACGTCTCTTTCTTAAAAAGTTAAACTTGTAGAATAAAAACTCTTCCTTCGCCTTTCGCAAGAACACGAAACATGAAACGTGTCACATGTGGGTCTGTGTCACTATAAACTGGAACAGTTTTACTCTCTGCTTACAAGCATTCACTCGCAAACCAATCAGAGATTACATATGTGTCAAGAGAGTAGCCTGTGGTGTCACAGGGTCGCCGATATTTGGCTGTCAGGCCTGATCGATTCATAGATAGGTGCACACATTACGACATGTTTTAACCACAATTTCTATGCGAACTCTTTTTGGACTTTGGACAAAATTAATATTGGTAAGCAGACAAACGAAGACATAATGGGCAGTTAGACCATCTAGACACAGCTTCTGCATGTACTTATGTGATATGGTCAAGCAATTACTCAGTGATGTTATGGCTGGGTTTGCTTTATGATGCCATGGAGCCAACTCACATACACATACACATATAACATATAAAATAACACACCAATTAAACTAATACCCTGGAGCAGAAACTATCCATATTCCCTGAGGAACCCACTGCCATGGGTATTATGAATTTAACAATTATATCTAAACTATTTTCTTTTGGCAAAATCAGAAAGTTCTCCCTTTGGCACTGCACCTATAAAATTAATTGAAATGTCATCGTATTCAGCTTTACAATAATCTTTAAGTTAGTGCGACATATATGAGATCTAAAATGAAAACAAGCCATAAGATGCATCAGAAGGTTTTTTTCAGTATCATTCTCACTCAGATTTTACTGTAAAAAAACAACCAAACAAACAAACAAAAAAAAACAACATTAATTAAAATACACGCTGTCTACAACAACAACCCCACTTAACTGCACCAAAAACCTGTCAATGATAGATAAATGTGAACAGGTTCTATGCATTGTGGGAATATGACACATTTTCAGCCTTGTATTTTTTATCCTCTATTTTTAATGCTAAAAAAAGCATTAACTTAATATTTATTTATTGTATCCACCAGTGTATTTGAGTTTTAGAAGTTGGGAAATGACCAAAATAAACCAAACAAAATTGAAAGAAAATACTCAAACCTAGTACTCATGACTTTACTAAAGTACTTAAGTACTATTTTAAGGTACTTGTGCTTAACTTGAGTATTTCCATCTTATGCTACGTTCTACTTACACTCAGCTACACTTCAGAGGTAAATATTGCACTTTTTAATCCAATACGTGTTTAAAGCTTTAGTTCCTAGTTACTGGGTTTTATATTTGCACCAATAATCTAAATTTGCAAATAGGTCATCACATATTCTTTTTACCAGCTGCAACAGTAATGTGATGGATAGCTGTATCAATAATTACATTAAACAAAATAACATCAACCAGTCTGCATAAACAAAAATCACTGGCACTTCCAAACGATGTTACAATAAGATAAAAAACCTTTGAGTTTCAAACGGTGTTACAATAACATAAAAAACCTTTGAGTTTCAATTTTCAACAAAGTGAGAGAAGCCCCGCGTTAGCAGGGCATCAAAAAATTAATTAAAAACTCTTAATGTTCCTCTCCACGGAAATCTTTAGTAAAAGGCGAAAGATTTATACGATCTGAAGAAAAACAAGAGTGTACTGATGATAATGTGAAACTCTGGACGACCCCATTCTCCGCCATGTCATCCTCACTCAGGTTTCACTGTACAGACGAGACATTATACACATTATTTATAATCAGTCATTTCATCCAGACACATAAACCGTGTATGATGAAGACCTCCAATAATCACACATGCTGATAGGAAACACATAAAACAGTTTAGCTTGCAACGACCGCACGCGCGCAATGCATTGTGGGAATATGGCGGCCCTGACCACGCCCCCTCCTTTTTTTAAAAAAAGTTAAGCTTGTAGAACAAAAACTCCTCCTCCTCCTTTCGCAAAAACATATCATGAAACGTGTCACATGTGGGTCTGTGTCACTATAAACTGGAACAGTTTTACTCTGCTTACAAGCATTCACTCGCNCCCCCCCCCATCCCCCCCGGGATCTGCACCCATGCCTATTGTCTACCCCAAAAAATCCCAAACACATTTCATGTACACTCTGGTGTTCAAACTTCAGTGTTCTATTGTTAATCATCTTGTGTTTAAATGTGTTGTGATTGGCTGCTACCTTGCGCAGGTCTCTCTTGTAGAAGATTTTCAATCTCAATGGGACTTCCTGGTTAAATAAAGGTTAAATAAAAATAAATGTACAAAAAAAGATACTTTTGTACTTTTATTTAAGATGTTGAATGCAGGACTTTTACTTGTAACAGTGTATTTGTGTCTTGTAGTAATGGTACTTTAACTCAAGTCAAAGATCTGAACATTTCCTCCACCACTTCTTGTACATATATCTGTCCAGAATTCAGAACTAAAGTGTGAATTCATTTTTTAAATAGGATCTTAGTGGCAGACTGTACTGTGATTCATCATTGCAGTTTGGATTCATCTTGGAGTGGGCGCCCTCTACTGACCACAGGGACACTAAACACCTGATTCAGTTATTTGTTTCCTGTTAATTAGATGTGAATCTTTATTCTTTAATATTACTCGGAGGTTTTGTGACCAAAAGCAGGACAAGAAAGGGATAAACGATGTAACTTTCAATCAACACCATGGGTTATCTATTCTGATTATTTATTATTTTCAACAGAGTAAAGGAAGCCCCGCATCAGCAAGGCATCAAAAAATTAATTAAAAACTCTTAGTGTTCCTCTCCACGGAAATCTTTAGTAAAAGGCGAAAGATTTATACGATCTGAAGAGAAACAAGAGTGTACTGATGATAATGTGAAACTCTGGACGACCCCATTCTCCGCCATGTCATCCTCACTCAGGTTTCACTGTACAGACGAGACATTATACACATTATTTATAGTCAATCATTTCATCCAGAAACATAAACAGTGTATGATGAAGACCTCCAATAATCACACATGCTGATGGGAAACAAATAAAAAAGTTTAGCCTGCAACGACCGCACGCGCGCAATGCATTGTGGGAATACGGCGGCCCTGACTACGTCTCTTTCTTAAAAAGTTAAACTTGTAGAATAAAAACTCTTCCTTCGCCTTTCGCAAGAACACGAAACATGAAACGTGTCACATGTGGGTCTGTGTCACTATAAACTGGAACAGTTTTACTCTCTGCTTACAAGCATTCACTCGCAAACCAATCAGAGATTACATATGTGTCAAGAGAGTAGCCTGTGGTGTCACAGGGTCGCCGATATTTGGCTGTCAGGCCTGATCGATTCATAGATAGGTGCACACATTACGACATGTTTTAACCACAATTTCTATGCGAACTCTTTTTGGACTTTGGACAAAATTAATATTGGTAAGCAGACAAACGAAGACATAATGGGCAGTTAGACCATCTAGACACAGCTTCTGCATGTACTTATGTGATATGGTCAAGCAATTACTCAGTGATGTTATGGCTGGGTTTGCTTTATGATGCCATGGAGCCAACTCACATACACATACACATATAACATATAAAATAACACACCAATTAAACTAATACCCTGGAGCAGAAACTATCCATATTCCCTGAGGAACCCACTGCCATGGGTATTATGAATTTAACAATTATATCTAAACTATTTTCTTTTGGCAAAATCAGAAAGTTCTCCCTTTGGCACTGCACCTATAAAATTAATTGAAATGTCATCGTATTCAGCTTTACAATAATCTTTAAGTTAGTGCGACATATATGAGATCTAAAATGAAAACAAGCCATAAGATGCATCAGAAGGTTTTTTTCAGTATCATTCTCACTCAGATTTTACTGTAAAAAAACAACCAAACAAACAAACAAAAAAAAACAACATTAATTAAAATACACGCTGTCTACAACAACAACCCCACTTAACTGCACCAAAAACCTGTCAATGATAGATAAATGTGAACAGGTTCTATGCATTGTGGGAATATGACACATTTTCAGCCTTGTATTTTTTATCCTCTATTTTTAATGCTAAAAAAAGCATTAACTTAATATTTATTTATTGTATCCACCAGTGTATTTGAGTTTTAGAAGTTGGGAAATGACCAAAATAAACCAAACAAAATTGAAAGAAAATACTCAAACCTAGTACTCATGACTTTACTAAAGTACTTAAGTACTATTTTAAGGTACTTGTGCTTAACTTGAGTATTTCCATCTTATGCTACGTTCTACTTACACTCAGCTACACTTCAGAGGTAAATATTGCACTTTTTAATCCAATACGTGTTTAAAGCTTTAGTTCCTAGTTACTGGGTTTTATATTTGCACCAATAATCTAAATTTGCAAATAGGTCATCACATATTCTTTTTACCAGCTGCAACAGTAATGTGATGGATAGCTGTATCAATAATTACATTAAACAAAATAACATCAACCAGTCTGCATAAACAAAAATCACTGGCACTTCCAAACGGTGTTACAATAAGATAAAAAACCTTTGAGTTTCAAACGGTGTTACAATAACATAAAAAACCTTTGAGTTTCAATTTTCAACAAAGTGAGAGAAGCCCCGCGTTAGCAGGGCATCAAAAAATTAATTAAAACTCTTAGTGTTCCTCTCCACGGAAATCTTTAGTAAAAGGCGAAAGATTTATACGATCTGAAGAGAAACAAGAGTGTACTGATGATAATGTGAAACTCTGGACGACCCCATTCTCCGCCATGTCATCCTCACTCAGGTTTCACTGTACAGACGAGACATTATACACATTATTTAT